AGGGTTGGAATTGCTATGTGTAAGTCTGACTGCGGCAATAGAGTAGCAGAGAAAGCTCCTTAACCACATCAGGGTTTATGATAAGCTTAGGTCCAGTGTTGGCCATAAGAAGCTTGATGCATGATCACCAGGTCTGCATTTCATCCTGCAAACACATCAAATCCACGTGAGATAGGTACACAACCCGCCCAATGGCCAGAAGTTATCTCCCAGGCTGGGCTTCAAGATCTCTGAGCAGAAAGCCTCCTCTGGTCAGGGCAAATGGAGAAGAGGAACATCCCTCTAGGTCGGCTCAGCAGGTCTTCCTTAGCTAAGCACAGCCAAAACAAGTTAATTTTTCAAAAACACTGGGCAACAGTATGACCAGCCTTGCATTCTCTAAGCAGCAGTGACTGAAAACAGTGAATTTTAGGAAGGTCTTGAACTTTGCCTTTCTTTATGTGGCACTAGAGGGCACAACAGCCCAAAGCAAAAAACTGAGTCTTGGTGGTGGGGGGGAAGTATCTTCAAGCAATCCTTCAGCTTGTGTTCACAACCAGAACTAGTCCATTGGCTGGGCTTGTGGCCTTTGAGACCCTTTCTGCCATTCTTTACACAGGAGTTGATGCAGTTTCTCCATGTCTCATGCTGGGAAGAGGTAGATAAAGAAGAAGATAAAAAGCTGGAGTGTTCTTTATCTTACATTTTTGAGTGACATCTACATCTGGCAATAGCTCATTTTCCTGTCACAGATTTTCCCACAGTCTTCTTTCTCTCCACCTATTCCCTTTCTTTCCAATTTACCTTTTTCTCTTTTGTCCTCTTCACTTCTCTTTTCCATTTCTTCACGCTTTTTTTTTTCCCTGCCTACTTGCCACTGAGCCAAACACTTCCTTGTTCTTAATGTGTACCAGGGTTGCTGGTCTTGGTGAAGGGAACAATGCTGATCCTCCTTCCCTCCCCCCAGACCATTTAGGTGCTGCCTTCAGGCCACATATGAAGCCACTGCAGAGAGAAAGAAGGGTTTTACTTTTTGCTGTCTTTGCATGCACCAGCTCCAACATACATTGACAGGATGAAAAAAACAAACAAACAACTGATTGATTTTCTCTCACTTGGTCTGCAAGTGAGATGGTAAATCTCCCTACCTCTTTTCCACCCATTAAAGGTGCAGTCAGCATTTCTTTCAATAGTCCGCTCCTTCTTCTACATGACGTGCCAATGAAGGTCACAGTTGATTGGAGCAGCATGTGATACAATGATGACATTTAGTCTTCACCTATCAGATGGATTGAAAGACATCTGGGCAATTCCTGCGGCAGCCAGAAAATCATCACACCACTCCTGATCCCAACATGCCCTGAAAGCATGGATAACTCAGGGGCAAATGTAGGCTTAAGAAAATTGAATGTGCTCTTGCTTTAATCTTAGTTTCCTGCAAGGCTCTGCCTGTGCTATAGGCTTAAGTCATTCAGACATTCAGCTCAAGTCAGCCCAACTCTACTACTTCTTCCCTTGCACCATCCCTCCATGATAATCCCCAGGCCTAAGTCCTCACCAGGCTTTGGGCCAGATGTTGCTGTCTCTTTGCTAAGTCCAATTATCGGTGAAAACATCCTTTTCCATGTGTGGTGAGATGCCTGCTCTGTTTTCCAGGATAACTTACTATTGATGATGTCTCGGGCTCCCTGGCAGGTCTGCAAGGCAATGCCTATCCATTTTCACTGCCTTTCCACGCATCATTCTCTCCACATCTCCCCCCTAATTTCTTCCCTTGCAACCTGCATCCTGAATGTTTTCTCTGTGTTAGCTCTGCCTGAAGTCCCAATGCCTTCCCCCTTTACAAAGCCTTTCTGATTTTAAGCATGACTCTTCCAGTATCTTTTCTGTGGTCCATACAGAAGGAAGCTCTTTGCCAATTACTAGCTTGTGAGATGTGCCATTGCTAATCAATGTTGGATGAAGAATCCAATGTGTACATTTTGCCATGTTACATGCTCCCAAACTCATTCACATTCCACAAGGGTTCACTTTCCATAGCCAACACCACCTCCATTTTTCAAAGAGGTATTTCAGTATCTCCATTTTATACATTTGAAGAAAAATGAGGTTGCTGAAACAGCATCCTGTTCAATTCATGGAGGCATGTTCCTTAGTGCAACTCATCTAGCTACAAATCAACGCCTTTTCAGTGCATCGCCACTCCTATGGAAAGGGATGTTGAGGTTTTTCAGCACAGATACATCAATGGGGAAACCAGCGCACACTATATCATCTATTGAGTTTGTACAGTGTTATTCCTTATGGGAAAAGAGAGAGCTTTGCCTGGTAGCACCCTGGTAGTGGTGTATGTCTATTATGTCATGTCATGTTGGACAAAAGCCGGGGTTCCTTGCCCAGAGGAGAATTTCATCCACATTTAAAATCTGCATCTTTTAAGCCATCCTTTTATTTTTCTCCACAACAGGAAAATGGGCAAAGAAAATATGGAGGTCCACCACCTGGTTGGGATGGCCCTCCACCAGAAAGGGGTTGTGAGATCTTCATTGGTAAACTGCCCCGAGACCTCTTTGAAGATGAGCTTATACCATTGTGTGAAAAAGTAAGTCTTTATGGCTGGCAGTCATTTTGCAGAGAATACTACTGATCAATGCTACATTTCCAGTTTGAATTGGAAGTGATTTGGCCCAGACTAGGAAAACTATCTACTGAAACCTTAGTTCTTTCCTCAGCTGGTACAAAACTACCTTTGGTTTGGTGACAGCCCCTTCCTCTTATCCACCCAGCAGGCTTCAAGTTCCCTACAGGAAACCATTCATCTTGGCTCTGAGCCCTGATGTGGTTTTAGGTCAGTGAGATTAGAAATCCTGGGGTCGTGTAGTCAAGGAAGAACCCAATCTTGTTTAAATACCTCCCACCTTGTTGAAAAACTTTAGAACAACTTTTCATTTTGTTTCCAGATTGGCAAAATTTATGAAATGAGAATGATGATGGATTTTAATGGCAATAATAGAGGCTACGCCTTTGTAACCTTCTCTAATAAACAGGAGGCAAAGAATGCAATAAAACAACTCAATAATTACGAAATCAGGTAAGCATGGCAAAGAGCTTCCCACCAACTTTAAGTTAATATAATACATTAATCTGTGTTTTTTATACACCCCATAATTTCCCCTGTTATGTAGAGGAAGGTTATTTAGATACTCAAAATCGAAAAGCAAATCACTCCTTGTCTCTCTGTGCAATCATTGTGTTATTCCAAACTACTAAGTATGGAATTATGGCTAGGATCAGAGGCTGTAGGCATGACCTGAATGTCCCAATCAATGTTTATTATTGGAGTAGGGGTGTTGTGTTTAAACGTGTGTTTTTGAGACAAACAACCAGAAATGTTGTTTATATGCAGGAATGGGCGTCTCCTTGGGGTCTGTGCCAGCGTGGACAACTGCCGTCTGTTTGTGGGGGGGATACCCAAAACAAAGAAGAGGGAGGAAATCTTAGCAGAAATGAAGAAAGTCACAGATGGCGTGGTGGATGTCATCGTGTACCCTAGTGCAGCCGATAAGACAAAAAACCGGGGCTTTGCTTTTGTGGAGTATGAAAGTCATCGGGCAGCAGCGATGGCCAGGAGAAAACTGTTACCAGGTGAGTAAGGAGACCTGGGGTGTTTGGGATGGCTTCGCCTTACCAGCCACATACTTACAGCTTGTGATGTGATGGAAGTCCCAAGAGGAACCGTGTTGCCAAGGAGGCAACGGTGCTGGGCTTTCTCTCAGTCACTAGCAATATGCTTGAAGTGACCCCGATACAGCAGGCTGCCTGGTGGACGTGCCATGGCTCTAGGACATGGGATAGGCAATCCTCTGCAGATCCTGATTTATCACCATGCTCATTATCCACACACTTCTTCAAGGAGGAGGAATTTATTAAAAATACAGTGAGATGGATCTAGCTATATATGTCTGTACAGCTCTGCTCTAGGACTTATATTATCCTATGGCTATTCTGGGTTATAAATAAAATATAGCCTTATATATAGCCAACTGGAGAGCATCACTCAGGAAAGCGTTTAGGAACATGTTCAGCCTCAAGGATTAGCTGAGGACTCTCCTGAAAAGTGATAATTTCCATGTAGGGAGAAGTCTTCTAGAAGAGGAATTGCACTAGGATTTAAATAATATAAAGAATGAGTCTATGTCACTTAGTACTGGGGAATGGTGCTAAAGGGCCATTACAAAGTGGCAGAAGTTTAATAGGTATTAGATGAGAGAGTCACTTACCATTAAGTGCATTTGGAGTGATTTCACCATTTTTCTTGTACTTTCTTGTGCTCAACTGATTGCTTTACTGAACTCAGCTCACTTTCCAGTGCAAGAACTCAGTCGACCTTCGGTTTTGAGATTTGCTCATTATGCATCATCCCACATAACTACTTTGACTCTTTCTATATGGCTGCCCTTGAAAAATTGAGTCCTTTAAATGCCTTTTACTTATCACTGCAAACATGCATGACTTTAATAACTGATACACATCTGCATATGCTTGGCCACTGTGGGATATTTTATGTTGACTGGTTTTCCTTTTATTCTGCAACTTCTGCATTTTGAATCAGCTTAGCAGCTCCCAGCATATCTTTTTCATGGCTTGCATAGCAAGAATAAAGGAACAGAGCAGGAATAAATGTAGCTCAGACTGGTAGCTTTGAGATTTAACTTAAAACCCTGAGCAAAGAGAGTGATACAGATGGGAAAGAACACGTAGCCCTGAGCAGATGTGCTCAAGACTTCCAATTTAGGGACAACTCAGGACACAGTTTGTGGAATTTCTATAGTGCTTAGAGAGAAAGTCATCCATGCTGCACTTCCAAAACACTATCTGCCAGGCTTATTAAAATAGGGGAAAAAAAAATCCATCTGCTGATAACACTGGGCAAAAGCAAAACAGGAGCACATGAAATGCAGGTCTCCAGGTATTCATGGATGACCAGACTTCAGCTGCTCTTAAAGGGAAGGGGGAGGAAAATCTCCCTGCAAGATGTGCCGAAGGGGATAAGGAAGAAAAACAGGAAGACGTCATCTTGTCATCTGGAGAAGACAGAAGATGAAAAAAATCACTAGATAGAGATACCTCTGCCCTACTCTCCTTCTTACTCTCATTGCTGCAATTTGCCCAGCTTTGAGACAAGTTCTTGGCAGTCAGTCTTCATTTCATATATTGAAATCACTGAAATAATTCCCTAATGGATTAATCGACTACATGCAAAGCACTATGGATCCCAGTAGGATAATCTGACCACAATATCACTTTTAACTACTTTTTCTTTACTATTCTTATTCCCCGCTGCTCAACACCTCAATCCACTGTATGCAGAGGCCATATGCCTTTGGAGGCTTCCCTCCAAACTGACACCAATGATATGCCTCATCACATTTTGTTCCTTTATTCCTTACTTTCCATTGCACATTTATCCAGGTACGGCTATGTCATTCCACACAGATGAATCTTTACCTCACTTTGTCCAGCTGAAACTGCTGGGTCCGTTTCCAGTTATTGAGGGAATAAAACATTTACAAGAATTTGTACTAAGTTCATTAAAGTATTCCCCTCTACAGAGCACTGCAGGGAATGCAAACATCTGTGAATCATGCCTTATTTTCTCTCTTTTCTTTCTGCACCCTGCTTTTATGCAGGCATCTAAGGTATTAGCTTGAGCAAAATCAAAGTGTGACCATCTACTTTTGGAAATACATTAACTAAGACAGCTTTCTTTGGGTCCCTTTTGTAGAACTGATCTATTCTACTGCTCTAGTATCATAGCCTGTCCATAACCTATATAAAATAGACTCTGAGCAGAGGAAGAAAGAATGCAAGTATGTTTGACACTGATGATGTCATTGCCTTTAAAGGTAGGATCCAGTTATGGGGACACCCAATTGCTGTTGACTGGGCAGAGCCGGAAGTTGAGGTGGATGAGGACACCATGTCATCAGTAAAGATTCTCTATGTGAGGAACCTCATGCTATCAACCACTGAAGAGACCATTGAAAAGGAATTCAACAACATCAAACAAGGTAGGAGCCCATCGGCATGGTAGCTCCAAAAGAAGTATTCCTACTGCACATGGAAATCTTTCTTCATTGGTAAAATGCCAAATGCAAGAGACAAAAATAACAGGTTTTCTGCCTAAAAATGTTCCAGTGGAATGCCACAAAAGTTGTCATTAAAGTGATTGCTCCCATCCTACATGCCCATCCCATCATCCCTCTATCTGCTTAATTCCTAATTAGCAGCACTACTAACCTTTTCTAGATGGCTGGAAGAGTTCCAAAATGCTGCACGGGGAGGCCTCTATCATAAAAAGGAACTGGTCTGGGTATTTGTGCCTTTCTTAAAAAAAGCTTTGGAGCTTGTGAAACAGCCACTTGATGTGGGCATTTGTTTTCTCCAAATGCCTTCATTTTGCTCCTGAGAAGAATTTAATTTCCTTAGAGAGACCTTATAAAGCATATTCGAAGAAAATAAAATAAAATAAAATATGCACCATAAAATGAACAAGCAAAAGAAACCAAGATAACACCTGGGTGTTTTTTGTTTGGTTGTTGTTCAGTTGTTTCTTTTTATTTTATTTTCTTTTTACATTTTTCTTTTATCTAATCTATCTATCCATCAACTTCTATCATTTTTCTACCAAAAATAAAAAGCTCTACTGTCAATATGTGAATAACAAAAGCTTATCATTTAATACAGAACAAGATAATATTCCCTTGTGGCGTATACCACATGCACTTAGTGGGAGATTTTCAAAAAGCAAGTAGGTTTGCTTGGAAATAAAAATCCCACTAGCTTTCAAAGGAGTTTTCACTTCTGAGTTGATTAGGCTTTAGAAAATTCAACCAAAAACAACAGAATAAAAATAATGCGTTTCTGCAGCTCTCCAAGCCACACCATCCGTTAGGCATTTGTAACTGCTTGGCAAAGTGAAATCATCTTTCATCTCATTTCTGTTAGCTTCCTTCAATTAGCTCTTTAAAAAACACTACAGAGCTTCATTTTTCCATCACTAACTTTTCATTTCTACTCCACACATTTTTTTTTCAGGAGATTACAATGCATAGATCTGTTGGAAATCTCTTTTAAAGTCATTTTTTATCCCTCTAACATTATCATCTGATACTTGTAGCAACTCTCAATCTGTCAGCAATCACATTTTACCCCTCAGTTAAATATGTTGCGTCCCACTCTATTCACTGCTTCTTCCTTTATTTATTTAGTTTTGCTCCTGAACATTGAACTGCTTCCCCTCCCTGGAAATGCATTTGAAATCCGTATGAAGTTTTTGTAACACTCATTTGGTTTGCTCCTTAAAAAAAAGAAAAAAAAAAAAAGTTTTCTAGCACAACAGTGGAAGATTTCAAACTACGTCATCTTCAATTTCCCCTTTTGCCACTTTATCATTTTACTTCTGACAGAGGCCTTCAATCTCGTGCTGGCATTTGCAATCTCTCTCTTTTTATTTGTGTTTTTTTCTAGACAGCTTTATTTATTGTGGATTTTTTAGAGCTCTCACATGCTTTGAAGAATGGAACGACACTAAAAAACATGCACACTGCAAGCAAAAGCCACACTTTTGGGAGAACAAATGCAACATAATTTATAGCGAGATTACAATCAAAAATGTCAGCAAAGATCTGAAATGATCCACGTCTTCCCTTAATTATCTGCATTGCTCTTTGTGCCATGTTTTTGCCTCAGGCATACATTTGATCCTGTGAATTTAGAAAACATTTTGACAATAGCAAATCATCCACTAAAAAAAATATCCAAGTAAGAGTTAAAATCTAGAGGTGCCCATGACGGAACAACAGCCACAGTGGATTTCAAATCACCAGTTCCACAAGTGCACTGGTAGGAGCACCATTTATGCACCCTGTGTCTATCTATAGCACAAAGAAGTGAGATCCTCTAAAAGAGCTGGTGCCAAGTTTGACACTGCTTCTCTCCTCCTCAGATGACTTCTGCAGATTCACGTATCACTTTGGGCAGCAGGAGCAAAACTACCCTGGTACCCTAGAGATCTTGGTGTAATGCTCATCCCTGGCCAAGAGAGCATCAAAGACGAGCAAGACCTTGAAAGACGTCTCCTGTAATCTTAGCCAGTACATGCTCTGCTCCGATAGCAGAAAGGTTGTGCTCTCCAGATGTATCTGGGGAGGACAATATCCCTCCCCAGAAATGCCACACAAGTAGTTTCTCCATGGAGATGACCTGAGAGAGTATAGTGCATTGCTTTATTCTAGTAGAGGCACAAATGAGAGCAAGATCGGGACGCGAGCAAGAATTAATAACACAGGAAGGGACTTCCAAGGCGCAGAGGGTTCATTAAAACCTTGACTTGTAAACAAGAGATTGGCGCCTAACTCCCAGAACTTGGGGCTTAGAAAATCTCCCTCTCGTCCCCCTAGGAAACAAAGTGCTGCTTACTATTGCAGGATCATTTGCAGACATTCAAGTTTAGGTTATAGGCTGGGATAGACTTCATTTTCAACCCCGGAGCTCCTAATGACTCCCTCTTAACACCATTTTTTTTTCTTTTGTAGTTGATTGAGTAAGTACTTTTTGCAGCAGTAGGAGAAGTTGCCTGTTCAGCTGTAAAGGGGGGAGAGGCCAACAGAAGAGTAATTCAGTATTTTTAAGTATTAAATCCCGTATTTTTAAGGAATGTGTCTGAAGATGTTAGAAGTCTCAGTGGTTAGCAATGTGCTTCCCAGCCAAGAGGAGTGGGAAAGGTGAAATACTAGAGAAGAAAATTAATATGCGGGGTCTACAGCTTATCACCACAGAGAACAGAAGCTCACGTGGTCATTTTGGAGCCCAGCTCCACTTGTTCATATTGCCACTGAGTATCACAGCTCCACGAAACAGAAGAGGAGTTGACAAGGGGAATGGAAAGCTATAGTAGACGGATGTGAAGAAGAACTCCCAAATATTTCTAGTCTTACTCCAAATCCTACAACCACTGTATTTCCTTTTCTGCGATGCATATACATCTAGAGAGAGAAGAGGGCGCTTCTCTTCTTGCCCTTTGCTCTTCAAGGCTCACAACACAACACAGTTTGCTCCTTTGTCATGGGGTTTTGCTGCCTGACCCACCTTCAAACTAATACTCCAACCTTTTCTGTAGGTGCAGTGGAGAGAGTAAAGAAAATTAGAGACTATGCCTTCGTGCACTTCCATAAAAGAGAAGACGCGGTGGAAGCAATGAAAGCGTTGAATGGGAAGGTAAAGCTAGTATAAATCTAAATCACAGGGCCTGTATGCAGCAGGCTACTGAAATAACATTGGGTGGCTTAATACTTAAAAACCATCCTGGAGGTGTTGGCGCTATTCTCTGCTTTATATTCCCGAATTCAGTTTTCAGCTAGTGAGGTATTCGCAGACTGTTGGTTTTTGGCTTCTGGCTACTTGCTAAATGTTTTGCCCAAATGGGATATCAGTTCACCACTCAAAAAGCAACTCAACAACACTGAAACAAGGAGCAGAAAATGTGGGGCTGTGTGTTCCCTTGGCTCATGTACACTCATGCTTGTGTGGTGTCTGCCAGCAAAAATGTTTATGGGGAAGCATGTGAATGGTAAACAGGGATGAGCAAGGTCAACCCAAAGCATCTGGTCCAAATCCAGATGCAGATCTTGCAAGGAGGTTGCTATATTTACCATTCCTTGCCCTTCATGTAATTCACAGAGCTACAAGGCAAGAGCGTTTCCCAAAGAGGTGTTAGTCCTGCCCCTATTTTTAGTGCCAGTGCTGGCTGATGTAGAAGAATATGTAATCTCACAGATTTCTAGGCTGCTTTGTAGGAAAGTGAGGTCTTTCCAAAGACCAGCTAGGTTAACTAGGCTCTCCCTGACTGGTTTCAGATCCCAATGCTTTCAGCATGCTAAACCTTCCCTGAGGCAGTGGATGTAGATTTTGGCCTTTTTTGAGAGTAATTTTCTCCATCCAGTTAACAAACTGCATTTTAGGAGCTCTCCTCACATTTGTGCTTCTCTCTCATCTCCTCTCCCCGCCAAACTGGCATGAAGGTGCTAGATGGGTCCCCCATTGAAGTGACGTTAGCCAAACCCGTTGACAAAGACAGCTACGTCAGATACACCCGGGGCACCGGGGGACGAGGCACCATGTTGCAAGGAGAATACACCTACGCCTTTGGACACGTGTATGACCCTGCCACCACTTACCTCGGTGCTCCCGTCTTCTACGCACCCCAAGCCTACGCAGCTATCCCCAACCTTCATTTCCCTGCTGCCAAGGGGTTAACCAACAGGAGCATTATCCGACCCCCATCCATTCGAGGTAACTCTAGTCACGGCAGTATCAAAATGAACCTCCTTGCACTGTAGATGACTGCTTCCTCACTCCTTCTGAGGGCAAAAGTGTGTGAAATAATCCCTGGCATTTTATCAGTGTATCCATCCATAACATTGCAGTTGGTGCTAATGCTTTCTTAAAAAGAGCAGCTGGGGCATGGCACTGTCAGCCACCTCTTCTGAGTCACCCTCCTCAGAGAGTGACTGCAAACTTTAGTTTCTCGTGTTTTCTTAAGGGTGGGGGTTGTTATGCAAACATTGTCTCATGTTCCCATCACCAAACACCAGCAGCCCTCAGTGCTCTACATCCTTCTGGGATTCATCTCTGGAAGTTACAAGAGCTTGATGGTGCTCCCAAGCTCTTCAGCTTCCCATCCCTCCAGCCACTACTGTCTCAAGTCAACAGTGAAGCCCACTTGATACCATCCAACTTACTGTTAGTCATTGTTGCGCTGGGCTTTGGATCCCTTCAAGAACAGGACAAAAAAAAGACAATTTTTTTTTGCATTTTGCCCTGTCCAAAAACACAGAGACCTTCCAGCATGCCAAGCAGGACATGGAAAAATAACTATGTCCCTCGAACACACTGGGCAGTTCTCTCAAAACAGCTTTCCAATCACTCTCTCTCCAGAGTAAATAATGGAATAATAAGCAATATATATATATATAAAGTATGTAGTATTTCTGCAGGTTACTGAGACTATCTTGGATCCTGGGTGTTTGCACCTGCAACCAAATCATATCCCCACACTCAAATGCCCCACTGTTAAGTCTGTGTGGAAGTAAATTTGGGGCTTATCAAAAAGCAGTCTCTTCCCAAGGTTCCTTCCAAAGCTGATGCCTTCTGTAAAGAGAACTTGTGTCCCCAGCCTATGGCCAGGTCCTGCAGCAGACACCAAATCCTGTCTCGTACCTCAGAAAGGCTGATAAAGACCAGGTCAACTAATTTTTACTCCTTCCCAAAGAAGGGAGGACACTGGAGAGCAGAAATTTGCCTTGCTGCCCATCATGGTTTTGCATGCATGGATGAGGCTACCTCATGTAGCACATGTGATAACCCACCCCTCCTCTCTTGCTCCATGGTCTCCTTGAGCTCCAAGTAGTGCTCTTGAAAATCAAAATGGAAACATAACATGAAAAAAAATGACCTTGTTTCCCATAAGCCATAAACTCTGATTTCCTCAGGAAACTGAAATTACAAATGGGAGCATGGTGACCTCAAGGCGGCTGACCCTCCTTGCCCATCTTCTTCCCCCTAAATCAGTGAGTGGGGCTAACTTTTCCATTACAGCAAGAATCAGGGTAATTTTTCCGGTGATTTGATTTGGTTTAATGCCTTCTTACATTCCTAGAAATTTACATGAATGTACCTGTAGGGGCTGCGGGAGTTAGAGGACTAGGAGGTCGCGGCTACCTGGCTTACACGGGCCTGGGGCGCGGATACCAGGTCAAAGGAGAAAAGAGGGGAGAGGATAAACTCTACGACCTCTTGCCAGGAATGGAGCTCACACCGATGAACCACATCACTTTAAAACCCCAAGGGATCAAGCTTGCTCCTCAGGTACGTTCATGAAGAACCTACTAAACGTTCTGGCCAGACTTCTAAGGGGCTTGCGGGAAAAGAGACGCTGCTTATATTTGGCACTGATGAGTATATCCATTCATAAATCTTGAGTGATGTGGAAAATTAAAGGAATGTCTGCCTACTTGTATCTTAAAATACCTACCTGCCCAGCTGGAGAACAGCCTGTGTCTGCTCACTGTCAAGGTATAGTTTCCACACATCCCCAAGGACGTGAAGTCCATTTAACTAGGACTACTGCTCCTTAAAAGCATTGTGGAGCAAAGAAACTCCTTCCCCAAATGGATCTGATAAATAGGGAGCATCACATAAGTTTTTGCTGAGGAATAAATGTGTATGAAACAGAAATAGTGCTTTTGCTAGAAAGAAAAGCACTCATTTTCCAAAACAGAGTCTGGCATGGTAGTGCACAGAGCTTTGCTGCCTCTGCACAATCATTCCAAAGCAGTACAAATAAAGAAGAAAAACATGTAATACATTTTTGAGGATATGGGTCTAATGGCAATTCGGCCCCTGCAGAGACACCCGAAGTAACATTAGTAGTTAATGTCACCTTTCAGTTAGAATTATGTCTCTGGTTGTTAACACTTAGATTGCCATAGTATGTTTGCAAAAATTGCCAAATGTTCACAAAAATATCCTATTTTTCCCCCATCCACTCTTGAAAAGTAGAAATTTGACTTTTTCTCCCCCCATAAAGCTTCACAAACCCTTTACTCTAGTTTAGCAGCATAGCTGAGGGGTGAAACGGTGTTGCTGCAGCACCTTAGATCAGGTGATTTTTATTTTATTTTATTGACATTTTCCCACACTTCAGATACAATCAATAGGGTTATCAAAGAGTATAAAATGCACATGTAATCTCCTGACCACCCTAAGCAGGAGACAGAAGTGCAATGTCCACTGTTCTCGAACAGCTACAGCCTTGTTCACTGCACCATGTGCCGAACTGCATAACAGGACAACTGTGTTAACAGGATAACCTCGTTAACATCCACTAGGTCGGTCAGGCTCCCCTGTCCACCTGCCTGAGACCATTTCAACAGCACCTTTGAAGGATCCCTCCTAATTTGGTCCCCCTTGCCTAGCAAGGATTCTCAGCGCTAACGAATAGATCTGTCTTGTTGAAGGCTTAAATGTTGACATAACATTCTAAAACCAACCTCTTTATAATGCAGTCAGAACAGCAGATTTAATAAAAAAAATAGTAAAGCAATCATTTTTAAACATTTTGATAAAGTAGGCTACAAAAAAGAGCCAGGCTGGAGGTGTCCTTTGGGGCCTTGATCTGAGCCAGCATCTCAGCCACCACAGGTTGCTCTGGGCTGTTTCAGTTTCAACAGATAATGAAGGTTTTTTTCTTTTTTTCTTTCTTTTTTTTCCCCATTTCTCTGGCATCTGGATGCTAATTTGCTTGCCTGTGCCACTGTTCTTTAAGTTGTTATGGCATCTGGGGTGAAAAATTTGGGGGGAAACCCAGCGACTTCTCAATGACTTCTCAAAGGTCAAGCTTGGTGGAGTTATCTGGAAAAACAGTTGCTCCAGGCATCGCTGCTAGGGAGCTATGAGAAGGTTGAGCTACATTCAGATCTGTTTGGGACACAGGCTACCTTGGGAGTTAAAAAAAGGAAGATGAAGCAAAAGCATTTCCGGACAATGTTTTCCCAATTAGCACCGAATAAGCTGTTCTTAGACAAGAGGGCAGAACAGTTCCGTGTTTCTCTTGCAAACTAGAGGCTGAAATCGCCTGTAGAAGTCTGTATAATTAATTGGCAGAAATACGGCCTTTCTTAAAGACTGTTTTAGACTGTTCATAGGCTTCTTTGCACTAAGTCAGAGAGGCATCAAACAGCAGATGAATGCAACCACAGTGCTTTAATGCTGTTAAAAAGCAGGGCATAGAGCTGGTGGGAACTCAAAGCAAATCCTGCTGATAACAAAATAAAACAGAACGGACAAAGGCATCAGGGTCAAAATTGCCTTCAGGCATTAAACGGTATTTTAAGGAATGAGATGTCCAGATGAATCTTATATTTCCAAGTGACCCAAAGTACTAGGACCTCCACTTTTCTTTGGCTTAGCTGAAGGTTGGAAGCTGCCTATACGCCTCTGAAAATCCTTTGGAGGGAAGGAAGAATGTGAGAGAGCGACTGTGCGACAATTAACCAACACAAATACCCCTTTATTTTCCCCTTCCCTTACAGATCTTAGAAGAAATTTGCCAGAAAAATAATTGGGGACAGCCTGTTTACCAGCTGCATTCTGCAATCGGCCAAGACCAAAGACAGCTGTTCTTGTACAAAATCACGATTCCCGCCCTTGCCAGCCAAAACCCTGCTATGTACGTAAATGTTGGATATTTCTCCTTGTGGGTTTTAGGATATTTTTTGAAAGGTCATTTCATCTCGCATCTCTCTGAAAATACAGCCACAGAAGTGTCTATTTTTAGGCTATTAGGCTATTAGAAGGAAGAACAGCCATATGTTAAAGACGACCCACAGCAAGGCCTGCCCTGCTTGGCTTTCTGTTGCTGACGGTCCAAAAACTCCATGTAAAGCCAGAAACAAGGAGATAAAGGTGTGATTTTTTTTTTTTCAAGTAGGAAAGCAAATCCAATCCTGTTCTTTTAGGAAAAAGAAAAATATGAGCACATGTGTCCAAGCTGCTAAGATCCATACACGTTCCTAAACATTTCTGATGTAAAACGCTATGTAGTTTAACCTGTAGTTAGATAAACTAATGTCTAGTTTATCAAAAGACTCTGGGTCCATCAGGCTTTTTTTTTAGTGGTGGGAGCGGTGCTCGGAAGGTGCTTTGGAGCTTGGCAGCATGGTCTGAAAGAATGTTTTGCCCAAAACAAGGACCAGAGCTGATAAAACAGACTGGACCGCAACGAGGAGGAGATTCTTGCTCATGCTTCAACACAGTTAAAACTCACATTTCCATTTGGCATGTGGTGTCTGACATTGCTGGAAAGTCCTGAAAGAGAAAAAAAAAAATCAGAAAAGAAAACAACCTGCTATATTCCTTTATACGCAGACATCCCTTCACACCTCCCAAGCTCAGTGCATATATCGACGAAGCCAAGACATATGCAGCAGAATATACCCTGCAGACACTGGGGATTCCCACGGAAGGGACAGAGGTGCCTCCAGCAGCACCCGCTTTTCCAGGTATGTGAAGGTCTGTACAGCAAGAATATCATGGAATTTGGTTTTCCCTACGGAATTTTTTCTATATGTCTAGAATTCACCAGTTAACGGTCACTGCATGGGGGGCATGATGCATCTGGGTGTGCATCTCTGCATGTCTTTACCTTGGCTGACATTAATTCTGCTTACAAGATCTTCATTGTCTGTATAATGACAATTTTTCAGTACACTTATGATCTACTTACAGGATAAGATAACTCAGGTTGGAGGCATCCTTGGTTGGGGTCTCCAGTCCAACCCCAGCTCAGAGCAGGGCCAACGTTACACCTACAGCAGGTTGCTCAAGGCTGTGTCCAGTTGCGTCTGGGCTGCCCCCAAGATTGGAGATCTCCCACCGCTTGACAATCTGCCCCAGGGACATACCTGTCCTGGACTCTCTCCTTGAGTTTGTAGAAGCTTCTTGAAGTGGGAGCCCAAACTGGACACTAGAATCAGATACAGGAGGGAATAACTCTTGTCTCCCTGGTTTTGCTCCAGCCAGCATAGTCCAGGATGGTATAGGCCTTCTTTACCACAAGCTGATCAAGTCATAGTCACCTTGACACCCCCTGCCATCCCCAGGTCCTTTCCTACCAACACTTTTAACCAATGACAGAAGTGTGACATTCAGATTCTGATCCAACCTTTCTCCCATCTGCTTTTCAAGGCTTATCTTTCCAGCTGGGAAATTCATACTCAGAACAGCTAGTTACCCAAAACAGCTCTTGAAAACTGAAGCTGGGAGCAGAAATCCAGCTTGTAGGCATTACATTCACTGTGCTCTCCAGCATGATGATTATTCTGTTGCAGCGGGAACAATTTATGCCAAACTGCACATGAGGAATGCATTAGTCAGTACTACTGAGTTGTTTGGAGCATTTCAGGGATGTATTAAAAAAAAAAATCTATCCAG